ACCGTGTCCTGTTATGTTTACTCCTCCAGATTGTTCTGTATAATAAGCTGTGAGATGGTGCGAATGGAAGAAAGAGAATGAGCCAGACAGAAATCAAACTGCTGAAACCACTAAAGCGCCTCGCTTCACACCGGCCTTTCTATTCAGGGCAAACACCTGCGCACACACACACACACACACACACACACACACACACACTCAATCTGATAATAATTCCTCCCATCTTTCCTTATCACTCCATCACTATCAATTCTTCCCCCTCCTCCTGAAACCCTTTTTTCTCCCTCCACCTCCTGTCCCCTTTCCATTACAATATATTTAACACTTCACCTCTCTGCCTTCCTCCCTTCTCCCTTCCATCTTCCCTTGTAATGATACACCCCTTTTTCCCCCACCCCACACCTCTACTTCCAATCTCCTCCTCCTTTTATTCCTTGACCTTGTTCCTCACCCCTATCTTCCGCTGCCATCTTAAACCTCCCCTTTGCCCTTTCTCTCCCTCTCCCACAGGTGAGATGGAGGAGCTGGAGGCCCAGTGGCTGACGGGGATCTGCCACAATGAGAAGAACGAGGTGATGTCCAGCCAGTTGGATGTGGACAACATGGCGGGTGTTTTCTACATGCTGGCCACAGCCATGGGCCTCGCCATCCTCACCTTCATCTCTGAGCACCTTTTTTACTGGAGGCTGCGGTACTGCTTCACCGGCGTCTGCTCCGGAAGGCCGGGTCTGCTCTTCACTATCAGCAGGGTGAGGAAAACTGCAGGAGCATTTCTCTGCAACTTCAGCTGCATATTTACAGCAGATGGTTGGAGTTTGATTCCTGTGGAGCTGCCTGTACTGAACCTGCTTTGCTTCACATGAAGGACTCTCAGGTGTTTGAATTTTGGAAATGTTGTCCTTCACTTAGAGACCAGTCTCGTTACTCACGAGTGCAACAGCTAATGTTCAGGATTGATTCAGACTGTGAGAGATCACAAGTTGTTGCAATTGGCAAAGTACCATTACCACCAACAATTATAAACATAAAGCCCGCATTGAAAAATTCCCCTTTGAGAAAACGTGCAACAAAACACAAAACCAAGCAATTTAAAAAGGTTGTCATCTGTTTAACAAGACATGTTCTGCAAATAAAAACACAAGACATGCAAATACACACAACACAACCAAATACAGAAACACTCTGTAAGTATGCATGTAAGAATGCTGAGAGACCATGTCCATGCCCTGAAAGTAAAAACTAAGAAGTAAAAATGAATGCAGCTAAGAGGGCGGGAGCTGAAGCTCAAGAAATCTGTCAAAACAGCAAAAATATCTGAGTACAGACGCAAAGTTTGAGCTCAAGCACAGCAAATCTAAGCACAAGCAGGATGAGTTTGAGTAAAATCATTACAGAATCTAAATAATGCTCTTGAATAAAGACGGGAAAACAATCCTTTGCCAGTGGGACACATAAAAGTGATGAACAGAGCTGTGACGTTCTCACTGGACGATTTATGACTTTAGTGAAGTTTCTGAAGGTGTTGGAAAATGAGTTAAAATGTCAGCACCCAGCTGGCTTCCTCACTTTTCTATTACTTTGTATACTTGGTTGTGTATTTGTACTGTAACGGTCTGTTTGGTTGTGTCCTCACATCTATATGTGGTAGTGTTGTGAGTATTTGCATTAGTCGGAGCGCTCAGTGTCACCTCAGATTTCCTTTTAATTTCTTCTTACTGATGTTCTAACGGCGAAGCCGACCCGCAGACTGACATGAGGAGAAAGCGAGCTAACCACTCAGAGAGGCTCAACAAAGACAAGCTGAACCAAAACAACATTTGCAGATTGTTTTAATGCGGCTACGCACTCGAGCAGAAAAATAACAGAAAGAAAACCATCGGCACATTGTTGTGACTTTGAGCGTCGGCGAGCCTTTGTGCTGTTTAATATCATCAAGGCAGTAAAAGCAGTTACTCTGTTTCTGTCTTGTTCCGTGCAAAAGCTGCATCTCAAACAAAGAGGGACATTTTTAATCCTTTTAGTCGTGAGAAGTAGTAAATGTTAAGATGCAGAGGGGATGTGTGTCTCTTACTCGCTCGCCCACAGACACAAGTCTGGTGTCAAGTTAAAAATGCTTCCACAGGTTTCAGGTGCAGTGAGTCGCGACTGGCTTGACCACACACTCGCAGACAGTTTGACACACACACACACCTAAATATACGCACACAATACAGAAATGGGCACAACCAGACAGACCATTCTTCCATTATTCATATGTCATGTCTCTGTGTTAGGCAGGGCTTTTATTCCAGACGGGCAGCATTTCACACATTAAGCGTTTTACAAAAAGAGTGCGATGTGTGTTTGTGTGTGTGTGTGTGTGTGTGTCTCTCTCTCTCTCTCTCAGTGTTTGTGTGTGTGTGTGTGCCGTTAGAGCAGCGATGCTGGAGGTTAAGTGGCTCTCGGAAGAACATCTCCTTGCACTCAAAGGCCCCCCTCCAGTGACATCATTGCCTAAAGTTAATCTCAGGGTGCCTCTGAAAGCAGTTTATCTAAAAAAGTGGCAATTATCTCTTCTGGCCACATTAGAAAACAAAATGAGGTTAAGGTTTGCAAGTAAACGCACCAGAGGACGAGACGCAGAGGTCGCTGCCTGATTTACTCTCCAGAGAAATGAGCTTTCTTCACATTTAAACTCTCTCTCTCTCTCTCCTGAAGTCACGGGATTGAGAATAAAGCCTTCTATTTCTGTTATTTCCTCTCCTCACCTCAAATCTCCTCTCCTCCATCTCATCCTCTCCTCCTCTCATCAGGGTATATGGAGCTGTATCCACGGCGTTCATATCGACATGAAGAAGAAGGCCCCCGAACTGGGCTTCAGTCCTCAAGCCAACATGCTGCACCTGCTCAAGTCGGCCAAGTCCATGGCTCTGTCTTCTCCCAAACGCAACACGGTTCTCTTGCAGCCCAGCATCCTGGATATGATGTCAGGGAAAGGTACTGTAACACACTATACTTATAAATCTGCCTGTGGAAAGATTCCTCACACGTACAGAGGTCATCCTGTCTTTTCTTTACCTTCTGTGTGTGTGCAGGTAAAGGTGACTCCCTTCACCTTGTTGTGTAATCACATTGACTGTCCTGCTCTAGCTGGCCTCATGATTACAAACACATTAGGTGGTATACCCACCCAGCTAACTGGCTGAGCATCCATCCATTGTATCTGCTGTCTGAGGTGCATCTCTTCTTGTCTCCTAGGTAACTCACTCCATAGTCTGCCTCCGAAGGGTCCTGGTCTCTATAGCAACGCCGCCGGTCCACAGGGTTTCCTGTCATTGTCCGGGCGACACAAAAACCTCCTTAACAATGCTGCACCATTTCCTGTGCAACAGAAAGCCCCTGCTCTCCAGACCAGCCCCAACAAGCCTCAGCTGTCAATCGACACCGACACCAACGGTAAGGCCCGCCCTCCCGGGCCGGCCTGCGCCGCGTCGAAGCCTCGAGCACTGTGGAAGAAAAGTGTGGAGACGCTGAAGACGCAGCCCACTGTTGTGTCCCCTGGGTCCGGCTCAAGCCCAACCCCGGCCGCTGGAGCCGGGCCGCCGCCCATGAAGAGCCAGCGCTACCTTCCTGAAGAGCCGCCGCACTCGGACATCTCTGAGTGCTCCAGCCGGCCGCAGTCGCACAAAGATTCTGACTCCATGGCGGCGAGGGGCGGATTTAAACCTGTCAATCAGCTGAGGAAGAGGGGTGGGGGAGGAGGAGGCGGGGGCGGAGGATCCAAGATCTACTCCATTGACTCTGACCAGGGCAGCCTCCAGTCAGCTCCCCCCTACCAGCGAGACAGCCAGGGGGGAAGCGACGACCACAGTTACCCCCCTGACCTGTTTCCACCTGACAACACATACTCAGTCACTCACACACACTCCCACCAGGCGGACGCACCGATTTTGCAGCTGAGCGCCAGCCTGCTGCATCACAGTCACAGCGCTGAGGCCGACCTGCACTCCCTGAAGGACAAGAAATACAGCACCTACACACACAGCAGGTATCACACTCAGAAGAACACACACACACATGTTTCAGCTACTTTTAATGTCTTCCTGTGTGTAACTCCTGTCGTCTCCTCTAACTCTAGTGTCAAGGACAAGTCTGGAGGTTCGTTCGATGCTCCCGGTGCAGGTACGGGGACACAAGGCATCAGGCCCGGTCACTGTCGCTCCTGCCTGACCAAGCTGAGCGGTTACTCCGGCCTTTACACCGTCCGCTCGCCACAGGCTCGCTGTGACGCCTGCGCCCACTTAGGAAACCTGTACGACATCAGCGAAGACCACTTCCACTCGCACTACTCCCACACACAAACTCACCCACACAGCGGGGACATGTTTACACACTTCCTTCCCCAGAGCGAGCTGGGCCTGGTGGGAGAAGGGGACGGGCTCGTCAGCCACTTCGAGCCCTCTCCGCCCTCTCCATCTCCTCTCCCCACCTCCGCGTCGGCCCAGCACCTCCAGCTGAGTCGTCAGCACTCCTATGAGAACATGATTCCAGACAGCGTTCCGGAGCGTCAGTCGCAGGCGCACGCCCACCTGCGGGGGCTGAGCCTGCCTGACAGAGATAGGGAGCGGGAGCTGATGCTGGACGAGGGGGCCTATGCCAATGTTCTCACAATGCGCTCTGATCGACCGTTTAGCAGCCGCAGCCCCCCCTCTCCGTCACCCTCCCACCACCACAGTCTGGACGCTCCGATGCCCCTGCCCCGGCGCTCGAAGAGTCTCTTCCCCGATCGGCCGTCTCACAACCCTTTCCTCCAGTCGGCCCCCGGCACGACACAGCGAGAGCCCGCCCCCCAGGCTGTCACACGCATGCCGCAGAGAAATTCTGCCCACGAGCTCTACAAGCAACGAATGCCGCTGTCGCTTACCCTCGGTAACCATGGCAGCCATCACGTCAACCAGCATGGCGGCCATGTTGACCAACAAGTGTTCTACCCCCAGCAGGAGCCCCCTGTGGTGGCGTACATGGTCCCGCCTGCTGCCTCTCAGCCAATGAGCTATGTGACAGCACCGCGAGCCTCCAGCGCAGGCGGCAACCGGCCCCGGCTCTATCGCCGCATGCCCAGCATCGAGTCGGACGTCTGAGAGTCACACACAGCACACTTACTCTCACCAACACACACGCATGCAAGACAGAGGTGTGTGTGTGTGTGTGTGTGTGTGATAGGACCGGGCAGCTCTGATTCTAAGCACATACACAGAAACACACACGCAGACACACACACACACAGGTGAAAGACGGGAGGTTCTGTGCCGGACTGAAAGGTTAATGGTGATGCTGAGTAAATAAATTATTGTTTCTTTATCGCACCCTATACGGCAGGGTTGGGTCCACAGGGACACCTGGAGGCACAATACAAGATGAAGCATGCGTGTGTGAGTGTCAGTGTGTGTAGTAGCCTCAAGCTGTGGGCAACGAGGCAAAAACTGACAGTACGTCTGACAAGACAGATTCAAATCCTGGTGGAATAAGAGAGACGCTGTGCACGGAGTCCAACAGCTACAGTGGGATGCGATGGAGGATGCGACGGAGTGTTTTGGATGAAGAGCCGACCCGTCCCGCCCTCTCACCAGCCTCTTGGAGATGATAGGGACACAGTGAACCCCTTTGTTTCTGAGAACACACACACATTTCACCCAAACACACACCCGCCCCCCTCTCCAGGACTCTCCTGTTGCACTATGATTTCCACAGTCAACCCGTATGTTGTCTGAGCCTCCAAACTGCACTGCCGGCATGGCTTACAGAGTAGTTACCTACACTAGAGTAATCCTCGACTTGAATGGAAATTACTATCTATGTAATAGACTAGGCTGGTGAAGCGGGCAGCTGGTCCGGACACAGGTCCGAGTGTGTCAGCTCCTGCCCGCAGATGTATAAACACTGGAACACACACACACTGTGTCTGTTTTTTTGGGGAAGTTAAAAAAAAAAAACGAAACAAAAAAAACAACAACCAACGACTGTTTGTTTTTGTTGATGTCAGTTAAAGGAACATTCCAAAAAGTGGACCAAAAGTGGCCGCCAGTAAACGCCTCTCAGGATGAGAGTGTGTGTTCTAGTGTTTCTAGATCTAGACATTCAGTATAGCATCGTTGCTTCCTCTCTTAGCTAGCCTTCAGGTCATACTGCATGCTTCCTACTGCCCTGTGTTACAGTTAAACTCCTATACAGGGTCATATGTGCACACACACACACTCACAAACACACACATACAGTATATATGCACACACACGCACATGCACATACGCAGTAGTCTAAGATAGTAGTTTAGGGTGGGTGTGTGTGTGTTGAGGCTATGAGATAGCTTCTATTTGTGCACTTTGTAGATTTTATACCCTGCCACCTAACACAGACGTTTGACCAAAAACACTTTTATACTGGAAGATATGAATATTCTCAGTCATTCGCTCAATAGATGTTTTTTTCTTTTCTCTTATTTCTCTTGGACGTTGGGTTTTAGGGCACAGCTCTGTCCGTTTCCATTGTGAGGTCAGAAGTTTTACAGTGTTAGATAAAGGGTACAGCATCATACAGTATACACGACACAGACTCTTAATCTTTCTCCTCTTTTTAAAACCTTTCCTGTGCTCATCCGTCGTTCTAGCCTCTCCTTCCTTCGTCTGTTTTTTTTTTTTTCCCTATCTACTCCTTTGTCTTTTGGCTCCTCCCCTGCTTCTTTCTATAGAGTAGATTGAGTATCAGAAGAGTAAAAGTTCAGTCGTGGTGTTTAAATACTCAACATATTGTTGGAAATCACTTAATATCACTAGTTGTAAGAATTCCTCAGATTCAACAGCGGCTGTCGTAGGATACAGAACTTTTTTACTAATTACTTTCTATGTCGAACGAGGAGAGAGAAAAAAAATAACAGAGGCCCATTTTAATGTTTCTGTAATGAATCTAGAGGCTGAGTGCATCACTGTTACAGTTTCACTCGTCAAATTAATATTCCTAGACAAGTGACAGAGTAGCTGATACTTGTGTGGTGCTGAGTTTCAGCAGAGCGAGTCACGTGGCATCGCAGAGAGTTAGAGAAGTGACTCCTTACAGAGGCAACACGCTCACACATATTATATATACACACACACAGACACAGACACACACACACTCGACAAGCTGGCAATGTGTGTATGAGTGTTCTAGAAATCCATAATCTACTCAGTAAGGGCATTGATTCTTGAGCACATGGATTTTGATGGAAAAGGGACCTGATATCCCTTTAGCTGTGCATCTGTCTCTGTTCTCCTTCCTTCTATTTTCTATTCTCTCTCTCACACACACTCACGCGGAGACACACATATACATACACGCATACGTATACCTATATATATGGCTGCAAAGAATGCAAGACGGTTTGAAACAAAAAAAAAACGCACCTTTGAACGGTGATCGCTGCCCCTCTCTTCGGTAATCTTAACAGGTTTGGTGTGTGAGTTATATGCACAATATCAGGTTGCAATATTATACTTCTGTACAGAGAAATCTTTGTTTTTAAATGTTAGAAACTGATTTCATTTGTTTGATTTGAATGGTATTAAGTATTGAATTCATTTCAGAAACAACGTGGCTTTTTTATTCTGCTTC